TCAGTTTTTTGTTTACTTCTTTAGGCAACGGCACCCAATGCCTCAAAAAATCCTCCTCAATTTTTCTACGGTAGTCCTAACACAATAAAGAGGCATCGATGAGCCGCTAAATATTAAGTTGTCTCATAATTTTTTTCAATTTTGATTTTTTACCGCAATAAGTCACACGCTTCTCAGTTCCGATTGTGTTGCGGAATGATATGCAAAATGATATGATAAGATATGTCACTTGTTTATGTAAACAAGCTAGCTATATATGGTCGTGACAGTCGTACACTTCTCATTCTTCTGGCTTGCTCTCTCTCGGATAAAGGCTTCTCTGCATCCGCTCTGGTACATAACAGTGGCGATCAGGGACGAAGCTCACTATGCCGAAACAGCCGAACGCTCAACAAGGACGGCTGAACGCTCCAGATCAAGGATGGCAGAACAGTCGCTGGATGGCAGCCTCATCACTGCTCTAATCGAGCAGATGAGGATGCAACAAGAGAAGATGGAGGCTCGACACGAAGAACAAACGAGGATGCTGCAAGAAGCGATGCGTGCGCAGCATGAAGAAACTATGTTGCTGTTCAAGACCGTCCAGTACGACCAAGATCCTGATAGAAGAAAAGAAACCTACGACCAGCTAACCAGAGACGTGGCAAACTTCGTGCCTGACGAGGAATCAGGTTCGACATTTTCTTACTGGTTTAGCAGGTACGGCCCCATGATCAGGCAAGCCGAAATGCCCGATGACAGAAAGAGGGACCTCATTTTGACGAAGATGAGCGAAGAAGCATACCGCAGATACGCAGACGACATCCTCCCATCGAAGCCGCATGAACTGGACTTCGAGGCAACGGTCGCCAAGTTGACGACCCTGTTCGCGTCCAAGAAGACACTCATACGAAGAAGATACGAGTGCCTTAAGATAGATTGTCCGCCGCTCAGGGCAGGACACATTTCTTTCCGCGAATACGCAAATCGAATCAAACGCATGGATGAGGAGGCACAGATGAAAGAGTTGGACTACCCTGGTCTGAAGACACTACAGTATCTCGCAGGACTCCAGGATCCTTCTCTGAAAGACATTCGCTTAAAGATGCTCCAGCGGCTAGACTCGCACAAGGATGGACCATTGACTATTGAAGAACTAGTCAATGAGTGGCAGACATGGGAAGACAGTACGCGGTACAAGCAGTACGAAAAGCGAGCTCAAGAAACTCGAAAAGTAGAGAACCAAGCCTAAAAAGATACCCATACCCGCCTTCCGGAGCTGAACAAGCAGATATCATAAGGTACGAAAGAAAAGGACTTACTGCAGCAGGAACCACAAGAACAAGAACTCCATTAGCTCCGTAGCACGAGCCGCTCGTACATACGTTGATGTTAAAATGAAAGGTTGTTTGCTACCCTTTCAACTCGACACTGGTTCTGATATCACATTGATATCCCGACGGCGATGGAAGATGCTCGGATCGTCTAATTTGGAACCTTGCTCTCTGCCAGTGAGAAAGGCAGATGGTTCACCGATGAAAATTATTGGAAGACTCTATACAGAATTTGCCGTAACGGATCGAGGGTCAAACAAACCTATCCATGGTGAAAGATACTGCTACGTTGCCAACACAAATCTACTCGGTCTAGAGTGGTGCATTCAACTACCTGCATACAAGAAGTTGAAAATTAAATAACATTGCCCTTTAGTAAAGAAAGAAGATTTCAAAGTGGCACAAGTTGTCTTGGATTCAAAGAAATCTTTGAGAAAGTATGACTGCATATTGCAACGACGTTCAAAAGCCGAAGCGAAGTCATTCCTAGAAGAAGCTGTTCCGAATGTCAAGAAGAATCGGCCAACTTTAAATGCCTTGCCACCTGTAAGCCGGTCTCCAAATAAATCGTCCTTCAGACGACCAGTCAGAATGAAGCCTACGCCATTAAATGAACAACTAACGGAAGAAGTAAAACTTCTATACGATGCCGAGACGGAAAATAAGCTTCTTTGGAGAAGACACGCAAATCAGATGCGCAACAAAAATCTGAAGTGCAGTGACCAAAGAAGAAACGACCAAACATCTAGAAGAAAAGCCAGAAGCCAATACTTTGTTGCAGATATGCCGAGTCAAGAGCCTATATCATCCACACTGTCACCATCACCGAAGAAACCATCAACTTCTAACTTCTAACTATCCAGTTTTCGACACCGAAAGCAACCTGATCAACTTCAAGTCAATCCTAAGAAGAAGACATATATGTAGATAATCTTTGTCTTAGGAGGGAGGTGTTGCGGAATGATATGCAAAATGATATGATAAGATATGTCACTTGTTTATGTAAACAAGTTAGCTATATATGGTCGTGACAGTCGTACACTTCTCATTCTTCTGGCTTGCTCTCTCGAATAAAGGCTTCTCTGCATCCGCTCTGGTACATAACAGATTGAAACACAGGATAACGTTCAATAGAGTAAAGCAAGCTCTATAAAATGGCTTGTTAGCCTTTGCAACAGTTTCAGCACATCACGAGTTAGAAGCCGAAATCTGAGAACTTTTGAATGCCCGAGAAATCAAAGAATCGTATATCTTTCTTCAAAGAAGACTTACCTAAACTGGCTCACGCATATACAATCTACATAAGGCATTCATATATGCCGTTGTTGTGTTTGTTTTTGTGCTGAAAACCAAAAAAAAAACTAAAGTTTCCAAGCTTCCAAAAAAGCGATGCCTGATACGAATTTGTATACTGCAGGCATTCGCAAGTATATCGGTACATTTTCAGCTTCCTGGAAGGACTAGTTTCCGAGAAATACCAAATTTACCTCTTTTTGCCAGCGTATTTCGCGTTAAATATAATATTTCCAGGGAACTGGCTCTTCCAAGAAGCTGAAAATTTACCGATGTAATTCTGAAGGCCTGTAGTATACATTTACCTATGTGAGAACAGCGAAGCATCGCTTTCTTGGAAGCTTGGGAATTTTAGTTTTCTTGGTTTTCAGCACGAAAACAAACACAGCAACGGCATATACGGATGCCTTTTGGAGTGTATATGCATGAACAAGTTTAGCATCTTGTTAGTCTTCTTTGAACAAAGATATAAAAAATTTTCGTGTTTCGTCAGATTTCGTCCTCATATATCAGCTTCTAATTTGTGATGTGGTGAAGCTGGTGCAAACACTTACATGGCATCTTGTACAGCTTGCTTTGCTTTACCGAAGGATACCCTGCATTTCAATCAGAATTAAGAAATGTGTGACTTATCGCGGCAAAAATTCAAAATTGAAAAAAACTTATGAGACAACCCAATACATTAAATCTATTGAAATCAGTTCTAGTCAAAGTTCAGCAAAAGGCAATGTGGGAGGAGAACTAGATGTTACTTGCTTTTATGACACCTTGAATATCGAGCCACAACTTTCAGCGGAGAGTACATATGTTTCGATGGCCCCCGTGAAGTAACCTAACAGTATGCAAGACGAGCCGCCCTTGTATGCCGCAGTAATTGTTCGATTTCAATATTGGATTAGTAATTTTTTTGTTTTTGAAAAATTCATCACAAGATGTCATAGATGTCACCACCAAACCGATTTTTCATCATAAACTGTAACATGAAAAGGTATCTATCATTACTTGTATGAAACAGCTCAATGTTAGATGTTTTGTTCTCTCAGCAATCATCTTAGTGGCAACCAATTTACTCGAAGTATTCGAAAATTGAATGAATTTGGAGTATCTAATGTTACCCAAAAGCCAAATGATTTTCGAAATTTGAATAACGAATGACATTCGTATTCAAATAATATTCGGAAGTCGAATATTCGAAAATTTCGGTTTTCGATTATTATTTAAAACTCGAATATTCGAGATAAATTTCGAGTATAGGGTGTGCTAGTTACGGTAATCACATTTAGTTGCTACACATTTTAGTATAACGGGCGGAAGGTTGATCTTATCAGATTATCTAAATCTACGCTCAAAACATCGTCCATCCTGATTCGCGGATGATAGGAAGTTCAATGCAGTACCTTAGCCAAGTTCTGCTGTACAAGGTGTCAATGTGATAAACTCGTTCCAGATGCTGCAAATGGGCCTGTGGGTTCCATCATGCATATAAGCCTTAAAGGCAGTATCCGGGTAAAAAACTCGATCTTGAGAAAATCCACTTACCGAGGGTTATCCCTAACGCTGAATCCGAAAATCCACATTAGAAGATGCATAAACGGCGAGGACATGCGTTTTCTAAAGTCCTACAGTTTGAAATTCGGCGGTCCTCGCCAAGACTGAGACGCAGAGTCGCTGCGGGACCCTACGATTCTCATGCGTACTCTGCCACATAGCAGGAATTTGGACAGTTTGGAGGTCTCCGCCCCAAGGCGTAAGTTCCCCCACTTTCCGGTCGTTTTTCTTGCTTTAGGTCAAGCGTTATGACGTTGCACTTGCGCGATGTTGTGTTTGAGGGGGAGCCACTCTCGCATGATACCGAAATGCCAAGACCCCCATCTTGCTCGGGCACTGCATTCAAGGTAATCAGTTGGCTACTGGACTCAAAATGACTAAAAAACTAAAAAAGCAATTTTCATTATAAAAGTCAGGCTAATTCTGTTACTAACATATTCATCCCGCTTCAGGCTAATTGTCAGAACACTGATAGCCGGACGGACATGTATGTACGCAACTTCTAAAACATTTCTTCGTTTTAAAATTCACCTTTAGCAGCACGTGATCAACCACTGAGCTGGAAGTTCTGCTGTTATACCACATTGAATAGTCACTTTTGCTTTTCATTAGACAGCGCCTCTAAAGGTTGGCGTAGGTGTCCTTACAACGAACTTTACTTGAGTGAATGTGTATAACCTCAGCCAGACTTCGAAAAAATTTAGCGGCCTTATAACCCCTAAAATTTTAGAATAAGGGAGCGTGGCTGCCCATAGACAACGGCAGCATGCCCTCGAAGAATTTTTTGCAAGGCTAACTTAAATTTTCGAAAAATTTCAATTCACTTTGTACATACAAACAAGTCACTTGTTATGGAGCTATGCATATCGTGAGAGTCGGTGAGTTCACGGGACTTGCACACGAGGATACCTTAAGGCCTTAAGCCATTCAAGTAATCAAAAACAAACCTTTGAAAACAAAAAAAGTTTTTGAAAGGGAATAGGAATCTGATGTCTCAATGCGCGAGTAATGCCATGTAACCAATGACTCTCGCGATCACACAGAATCTGTACATGCAAATTTTGTAGTGTAAGTAACGTCCAAATTCCGCCCCTTTTTTTGAAGGGGCGCCCATTTGGTAACTCATGTAAGTAACAATCGCAATTTTCTCGACCCAATCTCGGGGGTGGGGGGGATACGTGGCATATGATACGATTATGCTGACGGTTGTGAAAATGAGTGAATCAATGCGGTCTGTAAAACCTATTCTGGGGGTATATGTCAAGAATATCGATAGCTGAAAATGAAGAAACCTCAAGCGCCCCCTTGTCATCAAACGGTGTCGGTAGCACCGTCCCGACTAGCGGACGAGCTTATGCAGACAGTACAGGTTGTAGTATTATATGCCCAAACGTTATTTTTCTTTATTCTCGCTTTATGTTAACGTTTGTGTTAATTCGGATGGAGAAAATTAACAGTTACATCAATGGACACACGCGCTAGTAAACATTCAAGCTCAATTCAGCATGTGAAATGTATAAATCACCATGACTAACATACAAAGTGAAATTCAATGAAAAGAAATAAATTCGAGTCTTCTTTCTCTGCTCTTTGAAAGAGTGAGGGCGAGCTGATCTGCGCTCGCGAGCAGCTGGCAGCTAGCGGCTGGCAGAGCCGTGACGTTCAGAGCCCAGCAGAGATCGTCTGGAAGCTGTCTGGACTTTGTTTATGAAGCAAACAGCAAAGGAGATATCGTGCGGAGTCGGGGCCGAGCACCAAGAACAAGCGCCATTTAGTCGAACACAAGCTTTTCAGACGGGTTATCACACGATTGACATGCTCTATCGTGCATGGCGAAAAGTGCGCGCGATTTGAAAGCAAGGCTTAAATAAACAAATTGCTTGTTTACAGCGTACACAAAAGCATATGACACCAAAATTTTGAACTGTATGTATAGAGAATTATTTGCGGAAGCATATGTAAAAGGAATTGAAAACTTATGTGAAGTATTACCTTTTCCAAATTTAGATCGTCTCCAGACGGCGACCAGACGATCTGTGATCGTCTGGAGCATATATTTTCGTCAGTTCACATAAGTTTCGGATCTTTTTAGCATGGACGGATTCACCGGTCAAAAATCTATCCCGGAGCATAAAAACATTTTCATATAATTCCTTTCTTTTGTTTTTTGCCTTCATCTTCTCTCGATTTGTTGAATATCGCGCTCTAATGCCAAAGTCTTGTGCATGCGTAGAATTCAGCTCCAATTTGGATTTTCACTCTTATCTTACGTATTTTCTTTCAGACTAGTAAATCTCCCTTGTTTTCACCTTCTCCTAAGCAGGTAGGTCAAAGAGGACTTCGTGAAACTTCCGAAAATCAGGGGAGACTTCGTTTTCGAAAACCCTAAAAACAGACTCGTGTCGGACCCCGTTGTGTGTTTCATCGTCCATTTACGATGAACCAGAGAGATGACCAGTTTTAGGCTCAAACACATAAATTATTACGAAAGTAAGTTGGCTAAGTATTTAAAAACCATGTGAATGTTCAAAAAATGCACAAGTTAATTTTACGAAAAAAGAGAACTATTTTGTAATATCAATTAGCAACTTTCTTTGCATGGATTGCAGTGACAGAAGTTTAAAAAAAGACCACTTAGATTTGGAGATTTTTCAGTAGTTTTGAAAAACCTCAAAACGCCATAAACTGTAAAACAGTTGCCGTAAATATAAAATAAATTTAGTGCCGGCTTCGTGACCCAATTCCATATGATTGAGTTTGCGCTGATCGAATGTCGATATTAAGAGTTATGCTTTTTGAGACGACACAGACCAACGATTTTATAGAACTTTTTTAGAATTTATTACTCCGTAGGAACTTTCACCGCAAACTTTTTCTACTTAAAAAGCGCATCACAAAATTTAGTTAGCGTTTCCCAATCAGCAACCATGTTTTTGAAGTTATAGCAAGCTTGCTTACTATCTTATTGCCCATATCTAATCCTCGGTTTCCTCCTCCATAACGTACAGTCCCTGCACGTACTTATGCGATTGCACAGGCTAACTTTGCTGCATTCTTGTAAGTAAATTTGAACAGTACCTCTATGAGTGCATATGAGATTGGTTCCTAAGAATGAGAGTCTGGTTCTTACCTCTCAAAGTTTCTCTCATGTAGTAATATTGTAGTATCAATTGAAAGCCAAGGGTCCAATTCAGAGTCTTTTTGCAAGGATATGGTGAGGTAAATGTAACTGAGTCACAAAATCCGTAGATTCGCCTGCACTCCTCGTGTGTCCTTCAGAAAACTTGCAAGTTTTATAAGTCAAAGTTATTAGAAGACGTGCTAATTGAATGGTGCTTATCTCAGGCTCCAGTCTAAAAATCGCCGAGTTAGAGCCTGCGAAGACACGTGCTCATGAATCTTGCTCAAAATATAAAAATCGCGTACTTCGTCGAAATTGCACGTAAGTGCTTGTATGAACAAATATTATGTTCAATTCAACCAAGAGAACTCCATTGTATTGATATGGCAATTGCGCTTGCTTTAGGTGCTTTACTAAATATCAAAGCAGTTTTGTAGCAGGAACTCATATCTATTTCACTATCAAAACCAACACAGGAGGATCCATCAAGCGATGTCAACAGATGATCGGCGTGTTGTACAACCACTCACGGTGGATGTTCGACGAAGTATGCGATTTTTACTTTTTGTGCAAAATTCATGAAGACGTGTTTTCGTAGGCTCGTAACTCGGCGATATAGGACTGAAGCCTGAGACATGCATCATTCGATGGCATAGTTTCTAGTAACTTTAACCTATGAAAGCAAGCAGGCAAGTTTCCTGACAGATACGCGAAAAGTGCAGGCGAATTTACGAACTTTCGTGCCTCAGTTACAGTTACCTAACCTTATTTCTGCAAAAAGACCCTGTATTCCTGAAAGACCACGATTTTCGTAAACACACGAAAGTCCCTATAAGCAAAGTTTCCTTACAGTCCAAGATCATCAACATTTTGACCAAAACCCACTGGCGAGTTTCAGAGCGTGAAATAAAAGTCAAAAAGCCCGAACTTTTCAAAAAACTTGCTTATAAAGTTTATCTGAACGCTGGTTACGAAAGTCACATCTGCTTAGCAGTAGAGCTTCATATTCCAGAGTTATCTCCATAATCTACAGAAGAAGTACTATCGAAAGGTTTTGCTGAGGTGGGGCAATGCGCGCTGCTTCACACCTTGCGAAGAAACGTCCGCAGAAAAATTGAATACAGAAATTGGAATATCAAAGACTGCTGCACATCGAAGGATTCGCCTTGATGAGCTGAATACAACGCTCTTTTCTGATTCAAAATATGTTTATTTTGAAGATTACGGCGAGTAGAGTTTGGAAATGCGTGATTTTTGAAGAATTCACCAACGCTTCTATCACTTTTGAAAAGAAGTTTGCGTCTACTTTTTAGCGCACTATAATTAACAAGAACAGTACTACTGAAAGGTACTTGCTGTTACTTTTTACGATGATACGCGCTACGTCATTGCGAAAGGACCTCCACAGAAGAATTTGAGAAGGAGACGGGATATAGGGCATGCCATATATCAAAATCGCTCTGACGAGATGAGAACAAATGCTGTTTTCGAGTTCAGAATTTATTCATTCCTAAGGAAGTTATGGCGCTGCGTCGTAATTCGCGTTGATTTCGCTAAATTCCCGGAATTTGCGACATTCACGGAAATTTGCACATTTTGTGAGCGGTATTGTATGTTAAGAAATGTATAGTACAAAACTTTTTAAAAGAAAGAAATGCTCAAAATTTTATATTCTATTGCTTATATATCTGTTACAAATTGTTTACGAATAAGAAAACATGTCATATTCTGAGATTAATATTTTGACTATAACATAATCGTATTGCTGCCGTTAATGGGTCATCAATTGACAAAGCAGAGGCAAGATTGCTGCATGGCTATTAGAAACAAGCAATTCCACTGAAATTTGCATATGAAATTTCCAACGTAATTTTTGACATTTGACAATCTATAGATTTATCCGAAGTCTTGGGGATCCGTCATATTCCGCCGAGGAAAGCCCAAAAGCGCCAAAAAGCCCGAAAAAGCCCAAAAACCCGAAAACGCCAAAAAGAGCCGGATTTCAGAAACGAACTTTTATTAGAATTCTGACCTTACTTTGGTGTGCAGACGACAGAAAATGAAGCAAAAAGACTCGTTCGCGCAATCATCATACACGCCTTAGGGAACGGCCATAGGTTGCCGGCAACGGTTGACGAGGTTGCCGATGTTGCTGGGGTTGCGGAGGTTGCCAGCGTTGTCGGGTCAGAGACAGTTTAGAAATTGCGCGAAACTTGGAGGCTATCATGAGGTCCTACAAAGACCGGCAACCCCGACAACCTCGACAACCTCGACAACCGTTGACGGCAACCTATGGCCGCTCCCTTAGACCCTACTTCTTGTGTTTCAACAATGTATGTGGACAAAATTGACGAGCTAGGATGGTTAAGTATTGTTTCGCACTTCTATGCTCGTTTGTTCAACTCTGAGTTCAGGCAAGCTTGGAAATACGACGAAGATTGAAATTTTTCGCTTACACATTCTTTTCTTTTTCATAATTAGCATGTGCTGGATTGTTCCTTTAGAATACATATGCCAACGATTACCCATGCATCGTTTCTCCAACATTTTTTTGAACAGAGTCGAAGAATCAAGAGCAGTAGTATAGGTAGGTGTATATCGAAAGGAAGCGTTTTGGCAGTCGTCATTGCCATAAAGATTTGTGCTCCAAAAAGAGAGTTTTTCAAACTCCTAAAGTTTTGCCATCATACCAGATAACAGAGAATTACTAGATGAATCCCAATGTACTGAACCAACTTCAAGCTTTTTTCCTGGTTTTTCTGATTAGTGACAATTGAT